AGGAGCATCTGTACTTTTTATAATATGTGAAAAGTACGTTCAGATACTTCTACATACATTTCTACGAGATATCAATACTCTACCAAATCGGCGTTAAAACGTCTTGTGAGTTGTTTTGCATGAACAGAAGGCAATCATGTGGGCTGACCTGAACTATAGATACAGTCAGAAACATGTCTTATACTGCCGGCGTGTTTATAAATCCTCCTTACCATAGATATCCATTCATTTCTGTAGTGGAAAACAAGAGAAATAAATAATATATTAAAATCTGGCTATTTTTAGAAAGGAAAGCACCAAAAAAGTGTGTTGATTTTTGCACTTCAAATAAAGCAAAAAATTCAAGACTGAATTTTTTTGAAAAAAAGAAGCTGAAACACAAGCTGTGTAATATTAGTTTTATTTATGTACTATTATAGCATTTATTTATACTATTATGGCTATACTATTATAGTATTTATAGTTTTAATATTTTTTTATTTTCATTTTAGTTTTAATTTGTTTGTTATTTTAAAGTAATTTTTGCTAGTTTTTGTTTAAAATATTTAATGTTTTCTTTTAAATATTTAACTTTAGTACTTAAACTTATTTTATTTCAGTAAGTTGGCAAGGCAACATTTCTAATTTTCGGTTAAGTTTTTCATCTAATATTTATAAAAAATATTTTGTCAGTTAACGATAATAATACTGCTTTTTAATTGTTTTAGGTTTTTTTTAGTTAACAATAACAACACTTGTGAATACAAGCAATTCAGCAACAAGATGATAAAAGACGCATGTTTTCTTCTGTTTTTCTGTGCAATGAGGTAATTTTCTGAGATTCATTTAACATATTTCATATTTATATTTAAAAATACAAAGTCTACTGCTGCATATGTTCAAAAGTGAGTCCACATGCATCTTTTCCCATCTTGTCAATAAACTTCTCACATTCATTGCTTGACTTCTTTCTTTTTCAAATGTCTGACAATAAAATGGGACTTTTTGCTTTAATTAATGTGCAAAAGACACATATTTGAATTTTTCCCCATAGAAATGAATAGATAACTACGGTAACAATTTTGTTCCTACCCAGCTGTATATATGGTGTTTTATGAGTGCAGCGCCATCTGCTGTCCATCTTTGTGAAGCTGCAGCCTCTCTTTCTCCACCTGCAGGCGCTCTTTCTCAATCTGCAGTCTTCCCGACTCAAACTTGAAGAACTGCAGTCTCTCTTTCTCCAGCAGGAGGCGCTCTTTCTCTAACTTCAGCTTCTCCGCCTCCAAATCCACCACCATTGGCCAAACTAGCTTCCTGTCCTTCTCGCCATCCATTGAGGATGACGAGGGGGCAGAGGACGATGTGGTGGGCGTGGCTACAGACATCGAGGGGGCGGGGCTCTGCTGCAGGGGGGTGTTTTGTTCCAGCAGCAGTCGCAATCGTTCTCGCTCCACCTGCAGACGCTCCTTCTCCAGCTGCAGCCGCTCTCTCTCCACCTCACCCTGCCTCAACCTCTCCTTCTCCACCAGGAGGCGCTCTTTCTCCACCTGCAGCCGTTCGGACTCCACCTGTAAGCGGTGTTTCTCTAGGTCCAGTCTCTGCCTCTCCAGCGCCACCAGCACACCTGTGTTCTCCCCTCCGGCTAGGCCCAATCCAGCTACACCCATCCCGGACAAGCCCCCGACTCCGAGCCCCAGGTCTCGAGTCGCCGTCGGGCCCAACGTGGGCTTTGTGGAGCTCAGCATGCCGAATTCATCAATGTGAGCGAAGACCTCAGGAACTCGGCCCTCGCGGTCCATATCAGGAAGGATGGAGGGAAAACAGTCTTCATCGTCCTCCTCACCCTCACCACCTTCTCCAACCTCCGCCTCCAACTAGAGAGATGGAAAATTACAATTAGACACACAAAGTCAGCAGCAATTATGAGACCAAGCACACATATGGCATAGGTTGAGTAGACTTGTTTCGCCATACCACACGTCACACAAAATATGATGCATTTTGTAGCAATTTTGCTCTCGACAACCATTTGTGAGGTGAAGAAGTCTTGCATTTCCTCTTAATCGCCATAAAAACTGCCACAAAAACATGATTCCTGTCTTCCTCTAAACCAGATTATAACTATATGCTCAATTCTCAGCCCATTTTCACATGTAAGACATTACTTTATGCCTAATCCTGATTTTAAGGGTTAGACTTATGGCCAGTGACAGAACAAAATGCAAACACGAGCCAGATGTTTTCTACTGCATCTGTGAGAGTTTTACTACTACATGTAAACAGCTACAGAAAATTACTGATTTTGTGAAAACAAAGTGTGTTTATGTAAGATTCTTTGGCATTACATTTTAACTTGAGTATTTGAAACTTTTGAAATTTGACTACTTTTTTTATTTTTAATAAGTGCATTAAAGCTGATGCATACTGTAAAATATTATTACAGTTTAAAATAACTGTTTTCTATTTTAATATATTTTAAAATGTAATTAATTCCTGTGATCAAAGCTGAATTTTCAGCATCATTACTCCAGTCTTCAGTGTCACATGATCTTCAGAAATCATTCTAATATGCTGATTTGCTGCTCGAGAAACATTTCTGATTATTATCAATGTTGAAAACAGTTGTGCTGCTTCATATGTTTGTGGAAAATGTGATACAATTAAGTTTTCAGGATTCACAGATGAATAGAAAGTTCAAAAGAACAGCATTTATTTGAAACAGAAATCTTAAGTAACATTATAAATGTCTTTACTGTCACTTTTGATCAATTTAATGCATCCATGCCGAAATAAAATTAATTTCTTTCAAACAAAACAGCTTGCAACATCAAAATGCTTAATGACTTTTGCCCACCATGAGTGAGGATTACTTGAATCAAAGTAGGAGACAATCTGATGAAAGTTGTAGGATGAATTTGAATACGTAGTATCTGTGTCTAGTACATACTCTATAGCTGCTGGCCTCATCGTCCTCTGTTTTGACTCCAGACGTGTGTGTGCTGGGCTCCCCGAGGTCCGTCAGGTCCTGCCAGTCGCACGACGAGTCTTTGGAAAACCCACTGAGGTCCAGCGACTGGTCACCGCCACCCAGAGACGTGTCGTTATCAGGAGACGAAGCTTCAAACTCCTGCTTCAATCCTGACGCCAACTCAGCCTGAAGCTGTTTTCGTTTCATTAATGCGCGCCAGTCCAGGTAACGCCGCTTGACCTCGGCCGCGGTCCGCAGCTCCCCCTCGCCGAGAGCGTTCACGCTGTCTGCCACCTCCTCCCACGCTCGCCGCTTCAGCTCGTTGATGGCCATGTTCTGCTGGCGGGAGAACAAAATCTCACGTCGCTTGTGGATCTCGCGGATCAGAGTCTGAGTTTCCTTCACGCTGTAGTTGCTCTTCCTCTTCCTCTTCAGGTGCTTCATCTGCAGGAAGTCCATGCTGGCTGCTGAGAAATGACTGGATGCTGAACAAATTCTGTCACTCCAGACACATTTTCAAGTTCATGCTGACACACGTTTAGAGCTGTAGCACAGTTTTAAGGGTGTGAAGTTTCTGTTAGTAGGAAAGTGTTGTTGAGGTCATTCAGAGGTCACCTGACGACAGCAGGATCAGACCGTCTGGTCTCCTACAACAAAACAAAAACACAGTTTTAGTTACACACGATACATTTACGTTCAGTAACATCTGAAAAAATCGGACATATCTGTACATTATTTTCTGTGCACAAAAACAACGATGAATAAAACCATAAAGTTAAAATGTATTGCATGTATTTATAAAACATACATCAGCGGCCTTCTGCTCACCAAAGCTGCATTTATTTGATCAAAAATACAGTATAAAAAAGTTAAATATTATTGCAATTTAAAATAAGTATGTTCTATTGTAATATATTTTAAAATGCAATTCATTCCTGTGATACAATCTGAATTTTCAGCATCATTATTCCATCTTTCAATGTCACATGATTCTTCAGAAATCACCCTAATATGCTAGAACTAAAAGGTAAAAAAAAATAATAATAATAATGATAATAAAATTTATCAATTTTATGTGTCCTTACTGAATAAAAGTATTAATTTTTAATTTAATTACTTTTTTTTTTTTAATAATTTTTTTTTTTAGTTTAGTTAAAAAAAAAAAAAATACAAACGGGTAAAAAAAAAAAAAAATGTATAGCCTGAATGCACTGTAAGTCGCTTTGGATAAAAGTGTCTGCTAAATGCATAAATGTAAATGTACATTTTTATCTAAAAATAAATATATAATATACAAAATATTATCTATTGAGCGCAAACTTTTGAATGGTAGTGTAGGCTATGCCATGTAAGTTTATTTCCAAAAATCGAAATACACAGTTACTGTGGTAAAACTGTGGTATCAGCCCCCACTGTCCTAAAAAATATACAAATAACTTTAAAAAATGACAGAAAGAGTCTGAAAGTTCGTATGATATGATTCCATAATCATCATGCAGTACCTTATTACAATTTCATACCATAATACAACCACAGCACATTATTACAAGGGAACAGCTGTAGTAAATATGGTGTCTTTTGTAGAAACTATGGTTGCAGGAAATATTTTGTCAAGTATATCCATATACAGTGTGATTATCAATATGACACCGTCATATTGATCAAACATAAACACATCAGTGCGGCTGTTGTGTTTTTGCAGTTCACTTATCAACATGTCGCCAAAAAAGGGCTTCTATAGGCACCTATACAATGATGCTTTGCACACATATGGCTCTTTATAAAACATAAAACAAACGCCATGACACAAACCACAAAAAAACGTCATGACTATTTGGTTTATTTATTCAAACACTCACCCGTGGAGAAAAGCATCAACCACTCCATCCACACGCGTCCCGCTCCGCCTCCTCAGCCGAACTGTGCCGAACACTTCCGACAACGCGCGAATACCCTACGCGATTGGTCAACGATCGTCGCCGCCTTCTCCATCAGCCAATCAGATGAGGCGCTCACTGAACAGCCCCGCCCATAGCATATTCTTCCGGATTCCCGTGTGTTGTGGTTTGGAACACATGTGCAGGCGTGCCAGAGAAAGCAAAACAAATGCTACAAATTGCATAAGACATATGTAGTAATAATATTGACTACATATTAGTAATTACTATTATAATAAACGGTCATTTTATAATAGATTAACAGCTGTTAATTATGCGTATTTGTTCTAGTAGGACTATAGGTCGTTGTCACTGACTGTTGTCGGTGTCAGCAGGAATGGACGGGGTCCGGTGGGCGTTCCGCTGCGGTTCGTGGGTACCGACCCGTTCCGAGTGGACACTGGCGGCCCGGTGCGTTCAGCTGGAGGAGAAAGAACGAATCGGGCGCTTCGTGTTCGCCAAAGACGCCAAATCTGCCATGGTGGGTACGACAGACAGATGAATGCACAGACTTCACAATTAATATCAATTTGTTCTTAATAAATAATCATTTTAACTTTTTTTTGCACGTCTGATATTTAATATTATGTTAATATTACGGCTTTTTCTGTTAATATTTCACTTTATTTACATTGCACAACTTTGCTGCAAACTCCTTGATACAAGTACAGACTCACTAAAGAGCACTAAAATTGATATGAAATTATATGCATTCATTCATTATTTATTTAATGATTCATTCAATTAATATAATTTAATATATTTTGTTTATGCATTTATTTATCTACTTATTTTTTTATTAATATTGTTTATTAATTAATTGGTTAATTTATTTACACATTAATTTTTGCATCATTCATTAATTTATTAATTCATTCATTTTATTTATTTATGCATTAATTCACTTATTCATTTAGGCATTCATTATTTATTTATTGACGCATACATTCATTTACTAATTAATTGATTCGTTTATTTATATATTGTTTATTTATTCATCCATTCATTTATTAATTAACAGAATTATTTTATTTATGAAGTCAATCATTATTTATTTATTTTAATATTTAATTTATTTATTATGCATTCATTATTTATTTATTTATGCATTAATTCATTGTTTATTTATTTAATCATAGTATCATGCTGTCTGTTGGTTTTTGCAATTGTGTGTGTGTGTGCACCAGGCTGGTCGTCTGCTGATCAGAAAGCTGGTGTGTGAGAAGATGGGTTTTGCATGGGACGGGTTTCGTCTGGAAAGAACAGCACGGGGTAAACCCTTCCTGCCACGGACCTCACCCACTCCCGGCGTCACCCACTGGAACTTTAACGTGTCCCATCATGGAGATTATGCCGTGCTGGCAGCAGAACCGGGACGCCAGGTGGGCATAGACGTGATGAAGACCAGCAGACCAGGTAATTTTCACTGCCCTTGAGCACTTACTAAGTCACCTGAGCATCTTGAACCAATATAATACAAGAGGCACTGCAGTTCCATCAGTGGCCAGCAGGTGTCGCTCTATACCTGTGCTTTAGGTAGAGCAGACTGAGAGAGTATGTAGCTGAAAAAGGTATTTTTTTCTTTTTGTATTACATCATTTCTGACTCTACTATAAAATGTAAATCTGCATCAGCATCAGCTCATAGGAATCATGTTTCTGTGCCGAACATGATTATTACATTACTGATTTTTCTTGCTCTTTTAAAAACAGAGTTTGATGTACTGTTTTATATACTATAACATTTTCTAAACTATTGCAAAAACAGCTCATCAATTCTGACATCATGGCTATGAGTTAGTTTTTTTGGGGGGGGGCTTGACAAAGTATACTGGCATTGTTTAAAGTTTAAGAAATCATTACATTAATAATTTTTAGAATTATATATATATATATATAAAATAGTGTTCAAGAAGTTACTTTCATAGTAATTTTAGCATTTGTAATAATACTCATATATGTTATATTATTATTAAAAATGTAAATAATTATTCATAATAATACTTAATGTAATTTAATAATATGTAAATTATGAATATTTAAATTATATATATAATTATTTTAAAATTACAAAAAAAAAAATTTAATGTTCATAAAGTTATACATAGTATTTTTTATAAATTGTTTTATTATTTTTTACTTTTTTATTTTTACTTTTATAATTAAAAATATATTACAAAAATATATATAAATGGTAAAAAAAAAAAAGCTCTTCAATTATGACATCACAACTGAGCTCATTAACATGACACTTTCATTTAAATATCAACACCTGTTCAATATTAAGCCACTGTGCCAGAACACAGAGGTTAGCCAATCCTAAAAGAGGCCAATTATATTTTAAAGGAACAGTAGCAAAAAAAAAAAAAACAGTCCATTTAAATACTGAGCTCATTAACATGACACTTTCATTTAAATATCAACACCTGTTCAATATTAAGCCACTGTGCCAGAACACAGAGGTTAGCCAATCCTAAAAGAGGCCAATTATATTTTAAAGAAGGAACAGTAGCAAAAAAAAAAACAGTCCATTTAAATGTAAAGCTCAGAGAAATGGTGGAAAAATGACATTTCTTGTGCCAAAACCTTCACTAATGTGAAATTCAAGGGTAAAAAGGCGTAGAATATGAGCTTTTAGGTGTTTTATATGTATTTTTGTGTGCATATCAGGCAGTAGCTCCGTTCAGGAGTTTTTCCGCATCATGAATCGTCAGTTCACCGATCTTGAGTGGACGAACATACAGAAGGCCGGATCAGACTGGGACCAGCTGGACATGTTTTATAGGCACTGGGTAACTATAGCAACCGCTGCTTCCTGTAGCATCATCATCATCACCACCAGGCAATGCGCGCACACACACACTCACACACACACACATCTACATACATATCGCAGCGGGAGAGAAATTGTGCTGGATGAAACTGTTCCAATTCTGATCCCTGTTTCCATGGCGATGTGATCTCATCACTTCAGCATGACTCAGTTATGCCAGTCTGTGGTCATTTGAGGACTCTCATAAACACACACACACACACGTATGGGTATCAGTAAAATGTGCTGTAGGTGAGAATGTGGTCAGTCACTATTACAAGCACACACACACACTTACCTAGCTGTCCAGACCTAACCCTACAAGAACATTATGCATTTTTACATTTTTAGTTAAAAACAAATAGCATAATTTGCCTTATTTTTCAATCATTTTACCTTTGAGGATTTCTGCTGAATATCTTACAGTAATTAAATGATTTTGAACAGTTTGGGTTTTGAGTTTTATAACAAAGGAGTTTGTTTTTGCTTTGATTTTTAACAAGAAATAAATGTGTTGCAATAATAACTAGAATATGTATACTAAAATCCTGATTTTACCAGAGTAGCCAGTGTTTTATGTGTTGTGATGTTTAATGTGCAAGAGATTATTACTTAAATTATTTTTTAGAATTGATTTAAAAAAAATTGTTCACAAAAATATTACATTCATTTTTACAATTAATTAATTGTATTCATATTTTTAGAATGTTTTTCATAACACTAATATATAATTAAAAATAATAAAAAAAATAATACAGTTTAAGAAGTTACTACATTAATTAATAGGAGTTTTTTCAGAAATGTATTATTTTTACTTTAAGAATTAAAAAAAAAGTGAATGCTGTTTCCTCGTGCACAACTCGCCACCAGTCTCTTAAGTGAGCCCATATAGCCAAGTAAACACACTATATTGTGCACTGTTTTTCCTTGCATACTGGTTTTGCATACTATGTTTAATATGCAGTATACATACTCTAAATTATTTAAGCATTTCATTCTAAACATATCCAGAGGCCTGCTTACCTCTGATTGGTCCCTTTCTCTGTCCGCCGAGGCGCTGAAGGAGAGTTTCATCAAAGCGATTGGCTCAGGGCTGGGCTTCGACCTGCAGAGGGTGGAGTTTCACATCTCACCCAATCAGATGCGAGAGGGGCAAGTGTACCGGCAGACACAAATGTACCTGGATAATGAAGAAGAGGACTGGACATTTGAGGTGTGTGTTCACAATATACAAGGAATACTAGTCATTAAGCACATAGTTCATCCTCTCGGTCCATGAGAGGCAACATGTGACCTGTTTGGGAGTGAAAGCCGAATGAGGCTGTGTGTGTGTGTGTGTGTGTGTGGAGCCCTGCAGTGCTGCTTCGTCTCTCTGTGTCTGTCAGAGCGTGTGAACGTGACACAGATCACAGGTGCTTCTCGCTTCCTAGACAGAGCTCACATTCTTCATTCCTCTGGACTTTTCATCTCGCAGCTGCGAGAAAGAAAAAAAAAGTTAAAAGTATTCACCAGCAGAAACAAAAACACAGAATTCTGAGGCTTGCTCTGACTACTGTGTATAGACCATCAGGGCCATATACAGATTTCCTAAAAGAATTTGCAGATTTCCTCTCAGACCTATTGGTTACTGTTGATAAAGCGCTAATTGTCGGAGATTTTAACATTCACGTTGATAATACAAATGATGCATTAGGACTTGCGTTTACTGACCTAATAAACTCTTTTGGAGTCAAGCAAAACGTCACCGGGCCCACTCATCGTTTTAATCATACGCTAGATTTAATGAACATGACCATTTCCTTGTATCGTGCATGCTGCATATTACTGATATTAACTACACTGTACAAAATTATAAACGCAACACTTTTGGTTTTGCCCCCATTTTTCATGAGCTAAACACAAAGATCTACGACTTTTTCTATGTACACAAAAGGCCTGTTTCTCAAATATTGTTCACAAATCTGTCTAAATCTGTGTTAGTGAGCACTTCTCCTTTGCCGAGATAATCCATCCACCTCACAGGTGTGGCATATCAAGATGCTGATTAGACAGCATGATTATTGCACAGGTGTGCCTTAGGCTGGCCACAATAAAAGGCCACTCTAAAATGTGCAGTTTTACTGTATAGGGGTGTCCGGGGGGGTCCGAAAACCAGTCAGTATCTGGTGTGACCACCAAATATATATATAAAATATGTATATAATTTTTTTAATACATTGCATAGACTTCATACATGATAGGCCTATACAGTGGTTAATGTTCCATTAATTGTTGTGCAATTTATTATTAATAATGATATCATTTTTAAAGAAAAATATTTTTTACCATTTATATAAGTAGAAATACCAGTTTGACATGAAGCATATTGGTGATGTTTAATGTTCAATAAAATACATTAAGTAATGGTAATTTTTAAAATTTCTTTTTATTATGTTTTTAAATAAAAATGTTTTCTACTATTTTTTAGGAACACACACATACATATATATATATATATATAAAAATTTATTATAATAATAATAATAATAATAATAATAGATTCAATATGAATTTTTTTGTTATATATATGGCCTAGCCCTGATATATGACAGCCCTATACATTTATTTTATACAATGTACTCATAATTGACTTTTTTCTGTTTTTCAGGAGAGCTTATTGGACAAAGATCATCACGTCGCCGTGACGCTGGGAAAACCTGATATCAGCACGTCTGAAGTGAGTTTAACGATTTTACACCATTTTAGAGGTCAAGACAGTTCATGACATCATACTTCTGTTTCATAGGGGGACAGTGGGACTGTTTGTGAAGCTCCGCCCCTTTCGTTCACACTGTTGAGTTTCAGTGATCTGGTGTCTAAAGCCACGCCCCTTCTAGAGGAAGACCCCGCCTACTGGGAGAGATTTCAGAGCAAAAAGGAAGCACCTTCAAGACAAAGTGAACCGCAGTGAATAAATTACATGTTTATATATATATATTTGTTCTTTTGGGGTCATTCCTGTTCTTAAGTATTTTTTTATTTAATACTTTTTTATTTTTTTATTTATTTAATATTTATTTTTTTAACTCTGCATCTTTAAAAAAAAATTGACTGTTTGAAGACACTTCAACTTTAACTTATTTCCACAATGACAATGAACAGGACGTTCTTAAAAGTCAACTTAAAATTTATTTTCATATTTTAACCATCTTTTGATGTCATCAAACTGATTCTTTTAGGGAGGCACAAACCAACTATTGATGATGTTTGTGCAGCTGTTTTCCCTCCAAAATGATGTCACTTCCTGGAGATGATGTCATCAAGGAACTGGCTTTAGTTATACATATACATATATAAAATTGTAAATAAAAAATGTAACTATTTCATTACAAATAAATTATTAAATTATCATAGCCGTTTCTACCACAGAATATATATATATATATATATATATATATAGCCTAGTCCTGACACATGATACCCTTATAAACTGGTTAATGTTCAATAAATGTTCAATTTACAATATTTTAAAAGAAAAGTTTTTTTTTTTTACCATGTTATTAGAAGTATTTTATTTTTATTTTTTTTGCTTGGTGTGAAGCATATTGGCGATGTGTAATGTTCAATAAATTAATACATTAATAGTAATTTTTAGGATTTATTTTTGTTAACTTTGTTTAGGTAGACACAAACTAACGACTGATGTTAGTGCTGCTGTTTTCCCTCCAAAATTATGTCACTTCCTGGAGATGATGTCATCAAGGAACTGGCTTTAGTTAGTTAATGGGATATAAACTGTGAGTGTTATTTTATCCATTATACAGTATGACATGTCTGATGGGAACATGAAAATGTACTGCATAGGAATGACCCGTTTATGTAAGAGATGAGTTTATTTTCCCAACCTACACCTCCTAAAGTCAGTCTCTCTCGTTCCCTCCATCTGCCACCATCTATTTTTATCAGCAGGCCATTAGGACCGTGTGTTTGGAAGGTCCTGCTTTTAACAAATCGCTGCCGTTGGGACGCAGGTATGCATTTCCGCTCCTGCTGTTTCCGCTCGTGTTGTTATTGACAGGAGCTGCAGCCACACGGCTCGTGAGTTACTGAGGCTGTGGAAACTCGTACAGTAGAGGTTAAAAGAGCAAAGTCAATTACAGCAAAGCAGAACGGTCAAGGCTGAACTCGTCGAAAACACAGATGGGATCCGATTTAGATTAAACTCTGTACCCAAATGTAATTAATTTCTCTAAAATAGGAAAATAGAGACCAAGCAGCGTGTTGAGTGATGTACATTTCAAATTGAAATTTTAATATAAATGAGTTTTCATAATGCAATTTAATAATACATTATCAAACAGAAACAAATTTAATATGAAATGATTAAAAAAAAGAAGGAAAAAAAAGAAAGCATACTGGCAATAATGTTAAATAATAGTTCAATTTATTTAGTATTTTATTAATAATTACATTTGTAAAGATTTAAGTAGTTTAAAACCTGTTTTTTTTTTTGCTTGACATGAAGCATATTGGCAATGTTTAAAGTTCAACAAATTACTACATTAATTGATAGAATTTATTTTTTATTCTATTTTAAGAAAAATGTTTATTTGAAATAGAAATACCTGTATTTTTTTGTTTGTTTACATGACGTAAAGAATACTGGCAATGTTTTGTGTTAAATAAATTACTACATTTAAGTCATTTTTAGGATTTATTTTATATTATTTATAATTATATTCTTTACATTTTTTTTCTCTCCATTTTTCAGAAGTAGAAATACTGGTATTTTTTGACCTGATGGGCAGCATATAGGTGGTTTAATTCTGAATAAATGATTACATCGATTAATATACCTTTTTTTTTTTTTAAGAGAAAAAAAAAAAA